CTTCTCATCTTCAAAATAAGTCCAGAAACCACGATATTTGTATAACTGATTTCTCCTCTCCAAATCAACTCCTGTGAAAAAATCAGCATCGTTACTTTTGGTATCAAATGAACTTTCGGCCACGTGCTAGGCAACGAAGTAGTTCATAGGATCAAGTTTCACCAAGAATGTTCATTTTCCAGGCAAATGACACGCAATTCGCAACACACGTAGTGATGAAACAGAATATTTTTCGAGTTTTTGTTCTTTAAAAATTCTATTTAAATGATGATTCTGTTATTTAATGGCAATTTATCGACTTCAAAGCGCGGTGAAAGCATGCAAGAGCCGATTACTAATCGGCTCCGGGTCAAGGTATAAATTTCCGAGTTTCCTCTCCGGTCTAGTGAGTCTTCCCACGCAATGTCACGAAAGATCAAAAGTCTTAAAAAAATCTTCTTACGACTGCAAAGGAGACTAGCTAGACCATTTGCAGAGCATTGCAAAAAGGACATGATGCAGTGACTGCGTGTCCCGCGTTGACCTTTCGCTTTCATTTCTATTGTCACGCCAAAAAAAATGGTAATGATCATTGTTGCACGCATTCATGGCAAAGGTTAAAATCTGAAAAATGCGTTAAAAATAATTGAGAAACATTGCAATGCATTCTAAAGCATTCAAACTCGTTAAAAATGCATTTTACTCTTCAGAAGCAGTCGCACGCGCTTTTCGAGCGCCTTTTTCAGATTGGCAGAATCGTGTACAGTAATGTTTAATGAACGTACAGCAGACGACTTCAAAGGAATTGATCACAATGACGCTTTTGTGAACGTTGCATGGAAATTAGCATACGAAAAAATCATTACCAATAATTAGGTTTTCGACCACTGAACTAAAACGGTAAAATAAGCTGTGAAGACAGATTGCAAGACGTGACTGGAAAATAAATGGTATTCATTAGACTCCGCATACATTAGCTGGCAAGATTGGTTGACTTGGTTTACTGTCTAAAAACATTGGTTTAAGGTTTCGACTGAAATTTGGGGCAACGGTAAGTTGTAAGAATCACAAACGGTACGTGCTCAAATGATTATAAAATATTATTTAGGTACCTGTGAAGTAAATTTGCGTCATTGCCGGTTTGCGTTATTGTAGAACTTTCTTGCCACTTTGATTTCCAAGTTGCATGGATCTTTATTTTATGCGAGTTTAAGACATTAACGATTTAATCAGTAAAAGCCAGGGTCGGGTTGTTCAAAGCTGGGTTAAGATAACCCAGGGTTAGTACAAAATTTGAATTCAAATATGAAAGCTTATAAACTAAATTCAGTTTAGTTATTTTTGTCAACAAGTTGATGATTTGATGCTCTATGAATATCAGAGAAAATTGTCCGAGAAAATGCTTTTGAGAAAAAGGAAAAGAAACACGGGTTAAATTTAACCCTGGGTTAAGCGCTAATCGACCTTCTAACAACTGGACCCAGGAGTAAAAACCGCTGACCGTTCCATGTGCACATATATCCCATGTGGGAGATTTTCACAGAATTAGTTCTGTTAGAGTTAGAGTTAGAGTTAGATCGCTCTACCAGCATTTCTGCCTTGTGCACATCAGATTCGCAATTATATAGCAAACACTAATTTTCTGTCCTCTTCGTGTGACGTCATTAATTATTTGGGCGCGGCCCAAATAGAGTAATGGAAACGGCTTGTTTTGACGCAAATGTGCATTAGGCACGCAATACGTGTTAACGTAAACAAGGCAAGTAAACAAGCGAAGAGAGGCCAATGTCTGCCATGCGAACGTCTTGTACAAAGTAAGAGGCATGTGGGAAAGAAAGCTCTGCTAGCACGGCACTTAATCGCACTTTTACGATCTCAAGAGGTAATCTGAATCTTCAGTATTTTTACCTCATCGAAATTTGCAAGTCTGAAGTCCAGGGATGAAATCTATCAAAAATATTTGGAATATAACGTTGGGTTTTGGTCGCAATAAGATCACAAGCAACGAACCTTGAAACACAGAAACTCACAAAACGGATCGAAATCCACCAATCACAAATCACACACAATGACCTCTTGAACCCGTTAAAGAAAACTTTCGTTTCCTAAGAGGTCCGCTAAGATGATTGGCGTCTGACATTTTTTTGACGAGAGGATAGAAATGCCCCAATCATAGAAAGACAGTGTTAATTGCATGTTTCCTAAGAGGTCATCTGAATTTGATGTTTTCTTTATTTTGGGCGCTTTCCATTTACGAAAAAAACCCGGAAATTTCGGTGGTAGCAAAAGTGGAATTTCCGTTTGGTAAAAAGTTGTTCCATTTGGTCGTAAACCCCGGTACGTGGCGCGGTGCCCGACCGTGGACCTGGAACTGGTACAAACTACGAGAAACGTAAATGGAACACGACATTCCGTTCGGAAATTCCAACCGGGAAAACGGGACCACCTTTTTAGATTTTCCACTTTTTCTGGGAATTTTCCAGTGGGACGAACCGACAAAACGTGTTCCATTTACCGCCGA